GGAAGGAAGGAAGGAAGGAAGGAAGGAAGGAAGGAAGGAAGGAAGGAAGGAAGACAGACTGACCAGGGGCTTGAGTTCAGAAGAGTTGGAAATGGTATGTAGAAGGGCAAATAAATAGTAGAGTACCAAGAATAAATTTGCTGTCACATTTCCCCCACTATGACATTAGTAATGAAAACTGTCCTGCCACTGAAAATTATCTAGGGTACTATGACAAGCATTTGAAATTATTACATTAAAATGTAAGATTCATGCCAATTAATGAATCCTAAAAAGCAGACATTATATTCAAATGCATCCATTTAAATTATTCCAAAAAAGTAACACTAGTAAATTATAATGACCCTAGTATTTCGATGATTATTAAAATAACTTTGTAAAATGGAAATCTTTAAGTATCTAGCATTTTACTTCTTTCCTTTACCATACTGTCTTCTCATTTCTCATATCAATCGCCCTCAGCAACCTTACCTATTTTTGTTTAATTTCACTCACAAGTTTTTCTTTCTAAAATAAACATGTTGATAAATATGTCAATGTTTATTATTTCCTTGGTATATACATGAGTCATATTTGTATTTTAACACAGCATTTTGGATGGCTTCTTGTGCAGGTAAACATTTAATAAGAGCATATAGGTTCCTGATTTATTACCATGAAAACTCATCCTTCAACTTTAATGTTAACAGAAGATACATTTGACAGCAATGCAGTTATTTACTAACACTTAAGAATCACATCAAATTTTCCTAAATAAATCACCTACAATTAGTTTCCAGAAAGAACTAACTTTGTCTCCTCTACAATGCATCTAGAAAGATATTCTGCCAGAAAGAGTACAACTTACATAAATAACTCAGTTTAGGCAAACTGACTGACTCTGACAGTTTGTGCTTAATGATTTCAAAGGACAATAATCCAATTAACTAAATAGATAAAAACATGTATATTTCTTTACTTTCTTGATTCCCACAACAAAACGTTATCCATCTTTCAAAGTTATGAGAAAAAAAATTACTCCAAAATTACACAATTTTTATGTCATTAAAATCATTAAGTCATTAAGACTCTCAAATTTTCGAAGTTGCTCTTTATCTCTCTCTCTAGTGAACATGCACATAAAGCAATAATGTTCCAGCAATATTTCTGAGATGTAATTGCCTTCGAATAACGCCTTTCCAAAATTCACCTTTAAAGGCAATATTTATCACAGTATAATTCAAATTAAGCTTGTAAAAGTGATCAAAGTGATCTACAATTTTTAAGGGCTTTTGGAAGGTTTTCAAAATAATGAATTAACAATTAAAAAGACATTAGAGTAATGAGTAAATTATTCAATTCTCACAGGTATTTGATGTCACAATTTTATGGGCAATTTTGTCAATGTCAGCAACATGCAGCATTTATTAACTAGTAACTTAGTGAAAACTGTCTTGGAAGTCAAATTAGTTGTAAATTATTCACGTAGAAACTGAATTCTTACTTGGTAATGTCATAGTTTCAAAAGCGTTTTTATTATACTTTCCTGTTCTTCAGGTGAAAGGTCATGCTTTTTGCTACTATTAGGCATGCCTGACAATGCTCATGCTGAGTAGTGGCAATATCAACACTAGAGTAACACAGAAAAGAGAACTAAAATCAAAATTTTATAAGTCAAAATTCCAATTTTTTATTAGAAAGTATTACTTTTGCATACCAAATAGAAGCTACTGACTTCTACAGGGAATATGGTGAGTTTGCTTTTCTTATTCCTGTTTCTCATAAGAGAAATAAAAGAGAATATAAATTCGATACCACAAAACAGTAGGATATTTTGCTAAGGTAAAAAGTGAAGATTAAGGCCAACAGACAAATATTAGGATCAAACTTATAAATTTTCCCTGAGTAGCACAGGGCATCAATTAACTAAGGAAATGAGACACAATTTTATTTAAAAGTAATTTTTTAAAAGTTAATTGTAAATTATAAGTTTATAACCTACCCCTTTTGAATGGGTAAAGGCTGAAGATCTCCAACGGGTAATCCATCTGAGGTAAAGTACTTCAGCAGTTCTTTAGCATCCAATAATGTGATTGAGTCCCGAGGACCCTCTTTGTGGCCCAGCAACTGTTCAGATGAATGAGGTAATGAACCACTTCTGGGAAAATAATGTTATGCAGATTTATTAAAAGTGGATTCAATCCAGAGAGAAGCCAGAGTCAGGAAAAAAAAAGTAAATTCAAATTCACTATAGTCAGGAACCAGAAAAATACAACAGGAACACTGGAGAATTAAACATTTAGGAAAGATAATAAAGTTAAATATTTGCAAATCACTTAGTTTCTATTTTTAAAACTCTTTAGGTCACAATAAAACTTGCAATTATCACATCAACAAGTAGTATTTTCACTATTTAAACAGAATTACACTATTAATGATGACCTATTATTCAGTGGTGTGAAGTTACCAATTCTATAAAACTTAAATCTAAATTCTCTTGTATGTTCTGAAATCCCACAATAACATAAATTTTTGAAGGAAGCAACTGAATGTTCCAATTTTCCATGAACTGGAAAGATTACTTGAAGCACAACCATGAAATGAGACAATAATCAGAAACCTCCCCAAAGTCTCTTGTAGCCATGATTCTGACATTATGAATAAGCACTGAATCATTATTATATACCTGAAATACATGCAGGACTTTATATTTTTTCAAACTACTTTTCATATAATATATTCTTAATACTCACAAGTTTCCTTGAAAAAGATGGAATAGGTCTTATCTCAAAATGAAATAATAACTAAAAATAAGTACTTTGTAAAGTGAAAATCACCACGCCAAGCTTAAAAAGCAATCATTATTCCTACTAGTCAAGTAAAGATGCTAACATACAAAAGCTTATATTATAGACTCAGGGTGATACAGCTATTTAAAATGACAGAACTAGACTAACTCCAAATTAGTTACTATTTCTACTCTATCACTCTATAAATGAAAAAACAAAAACTCACAGAAAGTTTTAAATACTGGAAAGTGAAAAACTGTAGTTTCAGTTAGATGTTTCCAGTTAGAGGTTTCACTATGCACTGAATCATAGATCACCATAGCTCTGTTACCATAGTATAAAGGAAATATTTCAACGTCTATACAGAAAATTAATTTCCTAACTTTATATTAATTCAACTATTTCCTGATAATTTTATTACTCAAATTAAGCATAATTACTGATAATGACATGATTAAAATACTGACATTACAGTTTTAAATATATTTCTATACATTAAGGGTCAATAAAATACTGACAGTGCCTCTTTCCTCTTCCTATTCCTTTGTTTTTAAAGTGAAAATATTAATCTAATAAAAACAGTCAACAAAACACTCAAATTTTCTCTGGACATCATACTCCAGCAGGGTAGGAGCTATAGAATGATTCTAATTTGTAAAGATACAGAACCATGTGCCTGTCTCAGTGTCAGCAGTGATGTCCCAGAATAATTTAGTGCTGGGTGAAGCACCAATACTTCCTGCCTACTGATACCCTAAAGTATGCTCTAAAGTGAAGCCTGACAAACATGCTCTACCCGGGCTCTCCCTTCTCCTAACATTAACATAAGTGAGAGACGTGGGGAACAGGACTAAACCTATGGAAAGAAAATACATGCCAACTACCTATAGAAAGCAACATGGTCCTAAATTCCTAGTTATGAACAGACAATCTAGGACCACTAGACACTGGAGAAAAATTACACATAAGAGAAAAACACCAGAAGAACAAATAAAACAGTTGCAAATGAAAATGAGATAATTCGAGAAACAGATAAAACAAGTTAAAAGAAAATTCTAATTAATATCCTTATAGTATCATCTCAAGTCTTATTAATAAAGGAATAGGTTACTAGAAAAAATATAGCAGAATAACAAGAGAAAATTATTAGAAATTTAAAATATGACTACCAAAAATTTTAACAGAAAAGATGAAAACAAAGGTAAAGGAAATTCCCAGAACATAAAGCAGAAAAGTTAAAGAGATAGAGTATTAAGAAAAAAATGAAATTAAGAAACATCAATCCAGAAAGTTTAATATTAATTAAAACAGGTATTTCAGAGAGAAAAGAAAAAAATAAAATGAAGGGAAGAATAGTATTAAAGAAATAAGATATTTATCAGAGCCAAAAAAAGACAAAAGACTTGAATCTAAAACATCTCATACCATGGCCTCTTGTAATTTCAGAATATTAAAGAAAATAGAAAATTGTAAAAGTTTTAGAGACAAAATAAAATACCTATTGAGGAACAAAAATCGATCTAGCATCAGACTTCTCTTTAATATACGAAATCTAAGAAAATACAGAACTAATCTAAAACATAATCAAAAGAAATACCAGGTTAACAAATACGCAGGTAGAGTCAGTCAAGTTAGAGTAGGAACTCAGAGAGAAGAAAAACAAAAGTAAGAATTGTATATTGCAAACAGCATAAGGTTTAGAGATAGAAGATAAAAAGGGAAGAAAAATAGGGGTGTTAATTACTCATCTTTCCCAGTGGGAAGTTATAAGATGTCATCTAAAATTGGTAGGCAAGAAATTGAGGTTCTGTTGTGGGGAACCTGTACTTTTCTCACTCTTCTTTCTTGTCTTCTTCTGCCTAACCTATAAACACCAGGGATTCTTAAGGAGTGGTCTTAGCCTCCATTTCTTTTCGCCTCATGGTCTCATCATGTGACTTACCAACCATCATGTATTTGGAAAACTCTACTGATGATAACTCAAATTGAGTGAGTTCCAGATATCCCCACAGTCCACTTGTTATTTTCACTTGGATAATTCATAGATCAAATGTATCATCCCTAAAGAGGAATTCTTGATTTTTTCTCCCCAAAGCTGTCCTCACCCTAAGTTTCCACCCATTTACCCCAGAAGAACACCACTCACTCAACTGAAGCCAGAAATCTAAATCATCTTCAATGTTTCCTTTCCCTCTATTCCACATCTAATGCATCACAGGAAGCTTTTCACCAGCTTCCCACCAGCGTATCTCCCAAATTTGTTCTCCCAAATTTGTTCCCACTACTACTGCTCTAGTTTGAAATCAGTCATCTCTCACTCAGCCTACAGAAAGAGCCATCTGTCTCTCTGCTCTAATCTCTGCCTCCTGAAATTTATTTGCTGCAAGAAAGCGAAATTTTTGCAAAATCATATCCCATCACTCTTTCATATGAAATCCTTCCACCAATGCACTTACAATGAAATCCGAACTGTGTATGAGGACCTATTTGGTCCTGTGTGACTGAACGTACTTCACCCATTTATCCATTAGGTCTCAGTTCAAATATAACCTCTAAGAGGTCTCCCTGACCATCCACCTCATCTAAGTGAGTACTACCACTTCCTTCCCCACAACAAATAAAATTATTCTCCCCCAGTCTTTTTATTTCACTCATTACACACAGAATAATTTACAATTATTATATTTACTTGTCTAGTTACTTATTTTGATTGCTGCTGTCATTAAAAGGTAAGCTCTAGATGAGAGGGGCAGAGAAACAGCTTGTTCTTCCTCATATTCCCAGCGCCTGACACATGGTTGGTACTCAATAAATGTCTGTTTCATGTGTATGAAACAAAGTTATAGCAAGTAATAAAATACTATCCATGGAGAAGCTAAAAATAAAAATGTGATTTGTAATATTTGGGAGAAAAGTAATGTAAGAGAGCTTAGCTTCTCCACTTTTATTCCATCATTTAACAATTATGTACTAAGGGCCTACTATGTACTGAACCAAAATAACAAAAACAAAACAAAACAAAAAATCCTGCCTCCTATAGTTCATTAATAGGCACTGTATAAACATATATGAATGTAAAATAGGAACAGATCAAAGTGGTTCAAATGAGGCGAGTACTTCTACTTCGTTTTACATGTTCTTATAGTAAGATTTTTTTATGTCTTCATACACTGTGTATGTTTATTGGAGACAGTCTGAAAGGCTATACACCAAAATGTTCACTGTGATGACACAGACCTAGAAAGTACAAGTGCAGGGCAGAGCAAGATGAGTACTTCCTTTTTAATTGATATACTACTCTAGTGATTATCTATTCACAGTATGTATTTCTTTTATAATAAAACTATAAACTGCTCATATCTCATAAACATAATTTAACTATTTTTAAAAAGAGTTCATTCAAATTACTGAGCTATCATGTGCTTTACTACAGATTCAAATATTACCTCATTTTTTGTTTCGTTTTTTCAAAAGTTTCCAAATTTTGAAGAACATGCCTTTCTGGCCATTCCAGAGGATTGGTTTCCATTAGACTTGAGGAATTAGGTTCCACTGGACTAAAATCTAAAGTGAAAGAAATACACATAAGTCTGAAAAGTATTAACATACTGAATTTTGCTAATACAAATGTGTATTTATAGACACATACATATGTGTGTGTAAGTGTGTCAAAAGGCCATAGAAATGTTTGTTGCAAATAAAAATAAAATATCACCTCATAATAAAAGTTATAAGCTAAAATTTACAAAATTGTCTTAGCACTATTTAGGACTCCTATGGAATAAAAGCATAACTTTGTTATTTTGGGTGAAAATAGTTCTAAATGGAAAGAAGATAACACTATAGAGAATATATTGGATATTCTGTGTGATTTTCATACTAGAAATAGGAATTAGCACAAGTAGACCAAAACATTCATTGTTTAAAAAGAGATTACCTTATTCTTAAAACTACAATAATAATAGATAAGTTATGATGTTCTGATGTTCTCTCTGAGAAACCAAGATGCTTAAACATTCACACCTTCAAATCACTAACATTCAATGTTATTTTCTACTAATCAAATATTATATGTAAGAGTGTGCTTATCTTTCTAGATAATATGCTGCAGTGAACTACTATTGAGATTGCTGATAATATTGGGATTTTCAATGAAAACCTAAAGGGACAGTTTCCGGTCTTATTAGAAATTATTATTAATAGTATTAATATATTCAAACTGTTTTAACACTGGCAAAATTACTAACTGTGCTACTTTTTGGATTGCAAAACTATTTGGTTTTAGAATTGTTTTGAACACTGTTTTAATAAACTCACTGAGAATTACTGAACATTAGCTATTTGACTAACTATCAACATTAACAAAAATACTCATTTGAGAAAATAATGATTTGGTAAAGGAATTTTTCTTTTTCCCCCAGAGACGGAGTTTCACTCTGTCGCCCAGGCTGGAGTGCAATGGCATGATCTCAGCTCACTGCAACCTCTGACTCCTGGCTTCAAGTAATTCTCCTGCCTCAGGCTCCTGAGTAGCTGGGATTACAGGTACATGCCACTATGCCCAGCTTAGTTTTGTATTTTCAGTAGAGAAAAAGTTCCACCATGTTGGCCAGGTTGGTCTCGAACATCTGGCTTCAAGTGATTCATCCACCTTGGCCTCCCAAAGTGCTGGGATTATAGGCGTGAGCCACCATGCCCGGCCTGGTAAAGCAATTTTTAAACAAGAAACACAAATGAAAATGAATGCAAACTGCTATCTTACTTTCTTTTACTTATTAAACTATTTAACCTTGAATAGTTTAAAATATTTTCAAAACCTGTATTGAATTGCCCTATCTAAACACCATCCAAATACAATATTTCACATTTTTTAGTAAAGGGGTGAAATATTATTTTAAAGAGTAATGAGCTTCATAATAAAATAACATGCTGCTGAATGTCAATGTGGCTTTCTACTAAAAGTATAAAGAAAAATATCACTTGCATTTCTGCACAGCTTCATGCTATGAGTTCATAAAAGAATATAAGCAATCTTAAACAACAGTAAACATTAAATTGTTCCTAAATATTTCAATATAATATACAGCCTAAAAAATAAATTACATAGACTAAATATTAAGAAATAGGTGGGAAAACATTCATATGTGTCATGTCTTTTGTGGAATCATTTAATACAATTCTTACAATAAAATAAAACACAATATTTCATTTATGTGGCAGTCAAGACACTAGGTTATGCTGACAGCCAAAAAGCACAAAGGCTCTCTGAGAAACTAAGAATGCTGCTTTAAAAAAAAAAATTTTACAGGAGAAACACAGAAATAGACAATAAAACCAACACAATAGGGAAACAGGGAAAACTGACCTATAAAATCAAAAATTACAGCAAACAAAAAGAGATGACATTATGTGGTTAATGAATTCAGGCCATAATAACCTTACACACTTAAATATGAATAAATCACAAAGAAAATGTTATATTACAAATTAATAAAGCAAGAATTATAAATAAATGCCAGAAGATTCCTTTTAAGTGTTTGAAGTAATAAAATAATGATCTGATAGAATTACCTGGAAAACTTATTTATGCAGTGTGTTGATGTGCCCAATGGTCCCATGCAAAGGAGATCGTTATTGTAGTTATTGTATTATGAGTTCAGATATCACATTTGACTTTGTCAAAGTCTTTAGCAACTTTGTGACAATGTGTAAATAAATGGTTATATTAGACATTTTCTACCTACTGACTTGTCACTTGTTACACATACTAGAGTTTTTACCAAAAAATGAGCAGATTAAATAACTTTATTAATTACTAACAACTAATATGGATGCTTGGAAATGAGTCAGAATATGATATCTAATTGGCCTTAGTGTTTCTTTCATTATGTAATTTACAGGTAGATGCATTTATTCAAATCAAAGCGAGAAAAGATGTTAAAAATTGCAACTTCATTCTTAGGAGTCATGTTCAAATGCATAACCTGTCAAATTTCAGTTCAGGTTCTAAAAATTTTCCAAGTTTCTTTCATTTGTTCAATAAATACAATCTTAAAATGTCATCCAATAATTTAAAAAAACATCACAGGAAGAGAGTATAACAGAAAACTACGGAAACTGGGGAAGGTCTGGGAAAGTCTCTTTGAGAAAGTGACATTTAAATCAAGATCTGAAGAATGATCGTAAGTTAATCAGGTAAAGGCTGGAAGAAAAGAATTCCAGGCAGAGGACACTGCATCTATAAAGTTCCTGAGGCAGAAAGAAATGTAACGTTTCCAAGGAAAGAAAGGACTTCCTGTGATAAAAAGGAAACAGAAATGTACTGGTACTAGAATAAGTATGAAGCCAGATATCATTTAAAGTTTTTACAAACCATATGAAGGTTGATCCATTTTATGTGCAATTAGAAGCAATCAAGAAGGTCTGGGCAAAGGAGTGACATAATCTGACTGTAGATTGTGTTGATCCTTTGCTCAAACCTTTTTGATTTTAAGATGAGCTCTCCTGAAGCTCAGTGTCAAGCGTCCTCTGTACAGGTAACTTTAAGATACATATCCTTAAACTTATATAAAAGTCCTAGCAATTATTTGAGCCCTTCCTATCTTTCAACCCTTATCTCCCATACAAATCCTCTGGTAAGCCAATCTCTCTCTTGATCTCGGTTTGCCTTTTCTTACCTCCATGACCCTGAATATGGTGCTTCTACCTGGCACATCTTATCTTCTCTCTATCTAGATCTTATGTATCATTCAAGACCTACATCAAGTTCCTTGGCTCCTAACCAGCCTTCATGACTATTCTACCCTACTTGCAGTTCTCTCCTCAAAATTCATATTTATTTAACCAGCACTTACTTTATACTAGGCAACTGCTTAAGCAATTTAATAATAATTAATTTAATCTTCATAACAACCTATGTCATTCCTAATTTAAAGATAAAGAAGCAGAGGCAAAAAGATCAGAAAACATGCCCAAGGTCACATAGCAAGTAAGCTGCTAGTCTTGCTCCAGAGTCCATGCTATACATGGAGCTATGGTCTCTCACTTATTGAACACATCCCCCATTTACAAGTAATCTAATAATGTCTCCAGCACCTTTCAGATTACTCTGTACGCTATTTAACTTGGGTACTGATATGCAATGGTGATGATAATGATAAAACAAGTAACATCTTTTTTGGTGCTTGTGTTAAGTGTTTTACAGGTATCAACTCATTCAATCCTCACAATAACCCTACTAATCCTCACAATAATCCTAATAAGTGGGTTGTATTATTATTCCCATTTTAAACATGACGAAACAGGCATAGAGATGAATAACTTGCCTAAAGACATTTGGTTAGCAAGTAACAAAAGTGAGATTTGAACCCTGACAATTTAGCTCCACAGCCTGTGTCCTTAAACAAGGTTATTCAAATTTATCACAACACTGGAACTCAGGAAAGCAGAAAGAAATACAACCAAATAATGAAATGATTTCCAGCCGTCTAAGTGAAGTCTGACTGTTCCTCCCCTACTGAATGTTAAATATGCATCATCTTATCATATGGACTTTTACCTCTATTAAATTTACTATGATTACTATGATTTACTAAATTTTCCTTTCCACACTTTATGGAAATGTAGCTTAATAGAAATTCACACATTTCAGTAGCTTAGTAAGACTAAAGAGAGGCATCATCTTAAAGTGCTTCTTCCTTTGCCCAAAAGCAATTACACTGAATACAGTTAATGAAAAAAGTTACTAGAAAATTTATAATGTTTAAATAATGAGTAATACAGTTCACCACATATACATACATACTTGCATCTATATAAGTATATACTATTATTTAAATCTGTGAAATATATTTTGATTTGACCAATACATTTTATAAGTTTTAATAATAAATGTCATAGTTGCCACACACACACACACACACACACACACACACACACACACAGAAAGAACTAAAATTTAAAGTAATAAAAAACTTACCATTTAATATATTGAAGGTTTTAATTTTGTCCATCTTTCTTGGAATCATTTTAGGAATCACAGCATCAAAATGATCTAAAAAGTGTTTCCTTGTGAGTACTAACAGGCTTTTGAGTTCAGCAACAGAAACGGTTTCAGGCTGTTTTGCCAACTTTCTCCTTTCTGTAAGACAAATCAATACAATTGACTTATTTTTTATCCACTTTGGAGCTCATCTACTACTCTTTTGAGAAAAACATTTTCAGAAGTAAAACAAGTGAACTTCTCTAGTAAATCAACATTCCTGTTTTCAGGATTGTAGGCCTTCTTTCACTTTAATCCTATTTGTAGATAATGGGAGAATTTCCAGTTATGTGAGATAAACAGAAGTAATTCATTGATGCTATAAGTTGATAACAGATAAAGGCAGGTTTACAAAACCTTTCAGAAATATATTGCAGAGCATTAAAATGGTCTTATGTTCACGTTTATGCAGAAATAAAACTCGTTAGACTTTCAGTTAAATACGGTAGCTTGGCCACTTCCGTTTCTTATTCTCAAAGCCTAAAATCACAGCAAAGAAATAAAAAGGGAGAACAAAAGAAGGAATGACAAATAATGACATTTTTCAACAAATTTTGGAAGACATAAATGACAGCTGAGTGGTGAGTCTGCAAAGTAGAGGAAGAGCTGCCTTGGATGCCTGTAGAGAGGCACTACCAAGGAGTACAAAGTAGCTGGTGGTGAGATGCTGGACTGAAACAGGACTGGATGTAGCACAGGAAGTTAGAACTCCAGGTCCTTCCCCTACCCAACCCCCTATTCCTCAGAGTTAGGCACCACTGCTTGTATTTTTTTTTTTTTTTTTGTATGGAACATCAGGTATACGAAAAGCTAGTATTGAGGCTGGGGTTAAAACTAAGGGATTAAGGAAAAGTCTATTCATTGAAAGGTTGGACTTCAAGCCCTGATACCAGAAAGTTAACATCCACAAATGCCCCTCTGGAAATATCAGAGGATTCTCCTTTCGTTAAACTGAATGCTGTCAGAGAAAAGAACTCTAGATAGCAACACTGGGGTGAAGTTAGGGGTAGAAGCTCATGAACCAAATGTTGAATTGTCACTTCACCAAACTATAGTGAAGCTTGACAGATATTACATTAGAAGTAAGCATACAAAACTTCCATTTCAAAATAGGATAGAAAGAAAAGAATATCCAGACATTTAAGGAAAGGTGTTGAGGGGGAGAGGCAGTTCTTTGTTTCCCTGTGCAAAGATTTGATTCGGTTAACACTTTCAGCTCCCCTCTTCCTTCCCATCACTCACTGAGCTAGTCATGAACAAAGCATGCTCTGATAGATTCTTCTGACTTTCATCTGAGTGAGCAAGTCTTCAGGATTTATTTTCTCTGCAGACTTCTACTGCAGGGTTGGTCTGCAGTTGCCTAGCTCTGATAGTCATTCAATGGCAAAGTTCAATGCTGGGTGTATGTATGAGGAGGCCAACTTGGCCATAGATTTAAAAAGCCATGTCCTTTAATACAGCTTTCATCTATAATTTCTCTCCATCTGTATATTTCTTACATTTATTTTTCAGTTGGTTCAAATGTTGGGAGGAGAAGTGGGTATTAGTCATTGGAATCCCAAACTAAAAAACATCCAAAAGAGAGACTAAGGCAAACAAACAGAAAAAAGGGAGTCCAGCAGAAACAAAAGCATTGTAGAAAACTAAACAAAGTTTGCTATAATTTTCTCATAGACATATGAGAAGATACTGCAACCATGAAATAAGTACAGGATGCTTTGATAAAGAAAAAAAAATCAATGAACAAGAAATGACTCTAAAATTAAGCACACGAGAGATCAAATTTCAAAAATTCCATAGAAGAGCTGCAAAATAAAATGGAAGATATTCCCCCAAAACTAGAACAAAAACATAGTAATATGAAACTAGGAATGGAAATCAGGCATTCTGTCCAGAAAAGTCAATATCTAGTAAAAGCTCCAGAGCTCCAGAGAGAGAGAGAGGGGGAGAGAGAGAGAGAGAGAAAGAATGGGAGGAACAAAATTATTAAAAGGATAAAACAAATTCAGATTTCAAGATATGACTCTCCCATTTAAATTGCCAATCAACTACAAAGGTCAATAAATGGGACTGGTGGGGAAGAGGGGACAGATAAACACAATATGACTCAAAGTAAACCTTCTAGAGACAATGCTTCTGGAGACAAAGTTACCAGAAAGTGGGTAAAAACCAAACAAACCAAAATTAGATTACTACAAAGGATAGGAATTATATTTGACTTCTCAACAGAAACACAGTAAAGCAGAAGACAATGAAGCAGTATCATTGAAATTCTGAGGGAAAATGATTTTTAACCTAGAATTTTATTAGTGAAGTAAATAAATTTTCAGACACGCAAGAAGAACTCAAAAAATTTATGCTCCATGAACTTTTGCTCAAAAAGTGACTGGAAGAAGTGCACCAACCGAACAAAGGCATAATCCAAGAAAAAGGAGAATAAGGGGTCTAGGAAAAAGAACATTCCAAAAGAAGAAAAGAGGAAAGGGAAATCTTCAAGATATTAGCAAGTCTAACAAGCAATCAGTCCACAGTCAAGCAAAATACGAAACGCTCCAGGAAAGAAAACAATAGAGAAATAAAAAGGAACTGATATATTTGAACACACAATGAATGTTAATGATAGGAGTGCAGCAGAAATGTTGGAGCCTCTGGAAAAACATAATAATGTTTTGTCTATACAGAAGAGTAGGCAAATTAAAAATAAGGTGATTATCAACCATAAGAAAAACAAAGAACTATATAAAAGAGATTTGATGATCATCATTTATTACATGGCTCTGCAGTAAACTTATTTATAAAATTATAATAATGTTAAAGCCAACCACTGATTTAACCAAAATTCATGACTTCACTATAAGAAGCAGAAAGAGAATGTGAAGATTATGTGGGAAAGTGAAGTTTTTATCTTCCACAGTTAGATGTTAAGATAATGCCTGAAACTGATACATCTAAGAAATAGCAGCATACATACATTATTTGTATAGGGGTCCACCTGGAAGAGCTGAGGATAGCTGTCTATAAACACAGGGACTGAAAGATGGGGAGGCATGGGTGGCACATTGCTGTTTGCCTCTTGAAGCTTTTTCAGTATCATTTGATTTTTCAAACTATATCCATGTATTACTTTGATAAAAATAGTCTATTTTAAAACACTTCTAGTCTAGTAACATTTTCTTCCACAATAAAATAGTAACCTAAAAGTTCATAGAAAATTCAACGCAATACGCATTTATTAATTTTAAGAGCTTACTGCCTAAAAACCACTGTACTGTGTCCTTAGACACAGAGGATTAAAGCATTATTACATTACACTACCTGAGGTCAGCACATAAATAACGCAAGGGAGTAGAATAAGGAGGAGACAACCAGTGTCAAGGTTCTACTTTAGAACATCAGCTTCATGATACAAGCCTCTGTAAAATCCTGCATCGACAAGGTGGACATTGGTAGGGTCCTTCCAGATCTGACCCAAGGTAACTAACATGGCTTCCACAATCAAGAACATTAGGAAGAGTAAAATGAGAGCTATAATATATTCTGTCTCTATTACATCCTCTTAGTGAGAAAATCATAAGCCTCATTGTCTTTTTCTGCACAATCTGCTGGGAGCCATTCCAAAACAAAAAGTTACCGATGGTTTGGTTTTATCTGGAAGATGTACAGAGTAATCTGCTTCAGAAATTAGCCCCTATGTTGTTATTAATGTTAAAAATATACTCAAATCTGGTTGGGCGTGTTGGCTCACTCCTGTAATCCCGGCACTTTGGGAGGCCAAAGCAGATGGATCACCTGAGGTCAAGAGTTCGAGATCACCCTGGCCAACATGGAGAAACTTCATCTCTACTAAAAATACAAAAATTAGCCAGGCATGGTGGTACACGCCTGTAATGCTAGCTACTTGAGAGGCTGAAGCACAAGAATCACTTGAACTCAGGAGGTAGAAGTTGCAGTGAGCTAAGATCATGCCACTGCACTCCAGCCTGGGTGACAAAGCAAAATTCTGTCTCAAAAAAAAAATTATATATATATATGTGTGTGTGTGTGTGTGTATATATGTGTATATATATGTATAGATATATGTGTATATATGTATAGATATATGTGTGTATATATATGTATATATGTGTATATATAAGTGTATACACACATACACACACTCTCAAATCTGAACCTGAACCTGACCTATATTTATTAAACCTGTCAATTATATTACAATTTGAAAAACAGAGTAAGAATCCATATTGACCTTAATGATTAAGAAATGGAGAGAGAAAATACATAAAGTTTACAAGTTATGAGTAGGATAATTTACCTAGGCAAAACATCATCTCCACACAAGTGAGTGTGCATATAAGTGGCAGATAAATACCTGAGAGAAAAACATTGGACTAAAGTCTAAAAATGAGTCAGCATAAGAACGCTATTTTCCTAAAAAAGTTAGTAATAACTAAGGATTTATTAAAGAAAAATGTAGAAGCAGAACATCCAAAGGAATCAGCAGGTCGAGCATAAGCTTTGCACTGGGTTCTATACATTTAACAAAGATGTAGGGAACTCAGAGTAGAGACTGCAATACTGGAGCAAAATGGTAATACTGCTGTTTTCATACTTATATCATACTGAACAGTCTTTTATTTAAAAATTGTTCAGCATTCTCAAGCCTTTTCTTGAAAAATCAGTGAAACAAGATTTTTAATATTTCCAAATATAGAAAGTTCTAAATTACCAACAAATTTGGTAAAATATAAATCACAAGCTTATAAATTTTAAATATCATCATTCTAATTAAATAGTATTACATATAATTTTCAAAATAAAATTAATGAAAATAAACTAATTTTAAAAATTAAGCCCTAACAAATTTTATTTCATTTTTGTGTTACTTTAAAAAACAAAGTGCCTCCATAGTGTTATTAATGAGTACATTTTTGTGTAAATTTTTCTAGCTATTCTTTCTAATTTAGTATTAGAAAAATACTGGAAAGAGTAATAGGTCTACTCAGTGTTTTGCTGATAATTTGAGGAAATCTTTTTGAACAAGTTTTGTTTTTTTGTAAACACTATAATCTCTGTATGGATACTGAACCACTAATTTTTTTCCAAAGAGAGCTGTTCCCATTATATTCTTTAGTTTTTGTCATTGCTTTAAGTACTTTTCTGTTAACTGCATTGCTTTAAGTACTTTTCTGTTCACACTTCACTTATTTGAAAATCACTGAAGTAGACGCTTAAGACATGCTTACATTGGAAACTTTCTTTTGCTGTCATTTGCCTCTGCCTTTTGAGACACAGGCATTCTAAACAGATGCATCTTTGTCTCCAAGTTTTTAATCCAGTATTAACTCTCTGGGTAGAGAAGAGATTTGTTCAGGAAGTATTTTCATCATAAATAGATTAACTGGATCATTAATCTGAATCAAGATTTAATATTTCAGATTGCAAAATGGCCATTTCATGGACATACCCAGAGCAAGTGTCTCTAGTAGCAACTAGCTCTAAGGTCTTCTTCAGTTTCAGGTTCTCACCTTACTCTGCCCAGTCTAGTGGCATCTCTACGATGTTTTGTTTTTTTTGGTTTTTTTTTTTTTTGCATTTCTGTGCCCTCTCCTGCCCTCTCACCAACTCTGCTGAACTTTTCACTCACACCTCTAGGCAGCAACCTAGTTATAGCTGTCATATTTCCCTTCCCACACAACCAGGAGGGATGGCCCTCTTGGGGTTAAGTCTTCTCCTTTCACAAAGAAGAGATGCACCAGCTTCAGAGAGGTCCCTGCTCCTCTGATAGTTTTTCTTTTTGGAAAGGTGAGGAACAGAGGTGAAGATGAAACAGTGGAGATGTTGACGGAACTGAGTTATAAAAAGCTGCAGGAGGCTTATGGCAAGGAAATCAGGGCCTGACGGGTTTTTGGCAGGAATAGAGCAAAGTTAAAAAATGAATAATACTGATGTCTGAAATAAACATTTTATATCCATAACAATACTGGTATTTCAGTATATATATGTGTGTGTGTGTTTATGTATTTGTTGGTTATAGCATGTACTACACTTTATTAAAAATGATTTGCCTTTCTAATTACACTTTCCTTGAGCAAACATCATTTTCTTGGTTTAAAAGAAAAAAAAAAACACCAATGGTTAGAGGAGCTCAAGACTACACAATTACCCTGGATTTTTACAATTGAAAAAGTTTGCAATCTTTACATGAATAATTGAGACCAAGCATTCTAAAATTATCTTCTATTGAATAGGTAGGCTACTGAATTCACACTTTTAAAATATGTTTTTAAAGAAAAGAATGATCGTTCTTATTTTATAATATATGTAATATATAATTCGAATATCTTTTTTTCTACATACAACTAAGGAGGACTCACAATTTGAATCAATTTCTTAGAAATTACATAACAATAAATAAGTTCAATTAGGCAACAAATGAATGCTTAAAATTTGTATTAAAAAATAAGACTGATAGCCAAATTAACTGTAAAAGAGAAAACATGTGAAATTATGACTCTTTTCTGAATAAATCTATAATGCCAATGTCACTTAGCACATGAAATGTTCTTACTTATTATTGATCATTATTAAACTCTAAGAATCAATGCTCAAGGTAACACATTAATTTCCCTAAGACTTGCATTTTTTCCTATTTGTAGCATCCAACTTCTGCTACCAAAAATATATAAAAAGATATTTTATCAAGAGTTCTACACTAAACAGAAAAATAAAACTTACATACCTTTTCTAGTATCCAATTAAAAACAAATTTTGAAATGCAAAATTTGCTGATGAAGTATTTTTATAACTGTTAACAGTGATGTACAAATAAACAGAAACATTCTGAATCTAGTGAAAATATCTCTTCTACTCTACATCATCGCTATCAAAAATAGTTCTATAAATAAGTAGCGTAACTAAAAGATAAACTATATAAGAAGAAGTATGCAAATAAAGGTAGCTTATGTCCGAACAAGTCAACATTTTTAGAGTAGGATGAAATATACAATTGTTACTTACTTAGGCATTCTTTCAAAGCTAAAACTTGAACATTAGCTAACTGTTTCTCTCTTTGTACAATCTGCTCCCCAGAAAAATGTGGAAGTGATAACAAGTCAAAAGGAAAACCTGAGCAATAAGAAAAAAAAAAGGTCAACATTAACAATGCCCTTTGCCAACAATTAGTACTCAGTTCCTGGGAAATGTGTTACAGCAATGATTTAACAAAAAATAAAAACCAATCACTCACCTCTCTTGATCTTATATATTTCAAAGTAAATAATAATAATAATTAAGCAGCAGAAAATAAGCATACTCAATTATTTTGCATTTTAAACATTGACCTGATTTTTAAATTGAGGGAATTAGATAGTAAAGCAGAATTCCCTGAATCACGTTTTCTTCTACCTAATCAGAAATCACAGATAGGGAACGGGAGCCAGTCTCTAAAGATACCCCCAAAAGCCACTGAATGAACCACATCTCCCGTTATTCCTTTTTGTGCAGTACCCTCAACAATGAATCCAACCTAGATAAATGTGCTGGATGGTCCCATGATAGCCTTAGCCGTGTCTCTCTCCCCATTCTTCATGCCCATAGTACTCAAGAATAACTGTAGAACGTACTGGAAATGTACTATCTTGAAACAGGGAGGAACTGTCCAAGATAGCTTGGGTTTTTTTCCTTTGTCCCCTAAAAGCAGGATGTCCTTTAAAGCGTCGCCCAATGAGTCACATGGCCCCTGAAATACAGAAGCCAGGTCAGGCTGCCTTTTGGGGTCCCTTAGCTGTGGTGCAAACGGCACACATGCAGTCAAGACTCCATCTGCCCTGGGAAGCTTTCCTGAGCCTTGGGGGCCTGGCTCACAACAGATCCTAGGCTTCTTTTGTTCCTTGCTGCCTATCTGTAAGTAATAAACCTGCTTCACATAACTTGCATGTGAGTGTGTTCTGTCACACTGGACTAGGACAAATTGGTGACCAGTACATGGTGGACCTAAATAGTAGCCCAGGGGACAGCAGAAAGATGTATTTAGACTCCTGTTACTGGTGGTTGGCATAGTGATGATCTTCCCTATTTTCCACGCTGTGGCAGTCCTCCCTTAAGATTGCTAATTATTGGACATGCTTCACACTATGTAACAAGGTAACGTAAACGTGACACTGAATGACTTCTAGCTAGGACACAGAAACCCTTGCAGCTTCACAGAACAATTGCTCTAAGTCTGCAACAATATAAGAAGTCAGCCTAGGCCGGGCGCAGTGGCTCACACCTGTAATCCCAGCAGTTTGGGAGGCTGAGGTGGGCAGATCACGAGGTCAAGAGATCGAGACCATCCTGGCCAACATGGTGAAACCCTGTCTCTATTAAAAATACAAAAATTAGCTGGGCATGGTGGCGCACACCTGTAGTCCCAGCTACTCCGGAGGCTGAGGTAGGAGAATTGCTTGAACCTGGGAGGCAGAGGTTGCAGTGAGCGAAGATTGCGCCACTGCACTCCAGCCTGGTGACAGAGCAAGACTATGTCTCAAAATGAAAAAGTCAGTCAGTCTACCCTAAGACCATGATGTTTTAAGGAAGCCCAAGCTAGCTGTGAGGAAAGGGCCTGTGGAGAGAAAATCAGACCTCATCTGTTCCAGCCATCTTAGCCCAGGCACCAAACATGGGTGTGAAGAAGCTATCTTAGACATCAAGCCCTGTGGAAACTTCAAATGACTGGAGCCATAGTGTATGTGACTGTAATCATATGCACGACCTCAAAATAGAAACATCCAGCTGAGCCCATTCAACCTACAGGACCATGAGAGATAACAATAAACTGCTATTTTTAAGCTAAATTTGGGATAGTTTGTTATGCAGCAATCAGTAACCTAAATAATAAAGCCTGGGAAGAGGGAAAGATGGGCAATAAAATAGAACGTGTGGCTTGAGACAATGTAAATGAAAATGAGAAATACAGCAAAATACATGTATTTAAAGTGGAAAATACTAAAAATTTCATTTTTAGAATTGAAGGCTGATCTACTAAATTTTACTAGGTATAATGTAAAAGGAATTTGCTCGTTGCACATTAAATTGTAAAAAAATGTCATAATATGTTTTAAATAAAAGGTAAATTAATGAGAGAGAATGGAGTTTGGGGAAAATAAATTCATTAAATTTTTAATATTTCTTCTACTTAAAGCCACATATGCTAACTACACACACAAACAATGTAAACATGTTTTAATACCTAAAGTTAACACTTACTCAATTTGGCTTCTTCTGTCTTTGTTTTCATCTTTCCATGAATTAAACTGAGTGCAAATGAGCCATTGATCTGGTTGGCTGAGTGAATCAACGTGGCTTTACATCTTCTATTGCCATTACCTTGTAACAAGAGATAATAGCTTGAACACTCTCCTTTCACTTCAACATCTGGAACTAAACAAAAACAATTATCTTGTTAAGTATGTGAAAATTCAGCACACAACACAACAGAATCATACATTTGATCCATAGGATATAATAAAATTTTTATGTTATTTTAAAACAAGCTATTCATACATTCAGGGCTAGTAGTCGTTCATTTAATTGAGAAGGCTGTTAAGGCAAAAAATCATAACAAACAATTACAAAGCATAAATCTTTTATGTGTACTCATTCTTTAACTTTTGATATGGCTTACCAGAGTTCTACAGTATATTTCTTAAATAACCACATCAATAATGTTTACAGCTTCCATTTCTTCAAAGGGGAATAAACTGACTCCTACAAACACACACAACTTAATTGATGGAAGCAGAAGGGTACAGCTATACTCGGGAGTAGCTTTTTGCTTCTTGCAGTGGGCATCCATAATGTATTTTACAGAGGGAATGGAGAGCATTCATTAATCTGGCATGCCAGTTATGTGAAGGTCAGTTAAGACAGCATCTAGTATATTTTAAAAGCAAATCAAGTGAGGGTTATAGTGAAGGTTGAAGAAAAACTGTGAAGCCTTCGAGATTAAAAATAGAAGTAGAATCTTTTTTTGTTGAAGATGGTGAGTTGGACATAAACATTTATATTCACTATCTCCTGAAATTCCACTAAATGAGAATAAAGAAATCTTAAAAATAGCATAAATCTACAAAAAACTAATATCTGGAAGAGACAACAACTAAAATTTGAAAGCAGTAAAGTATATGAACAACTAGTAACAAACTTCAATCTCTCCGCTGCTAAGGAAGCTGAGAAAAACAGCAGAGAAAGCCCCAAAGCAGCACAATTTATACATGCATCCTCAAGAGGTCTGGAATGGTGACCCCAGATGGCTCTGGAAGCAAAACAAAGCTGGAATAGGAACAGAGTTTGAAAGTCAACTTGAGAAACAGGCCTCCTGATCCCTTATTCTATTCAGGCAAATGACTGTCAGAAGATTAGAGGTTTATCCTCTGAATAGGGTAAAACGAAGTGTCTTCGGCTTGAGATATATAATGTAGAGTTAAGGGCTGATTATCAGGGAATAAAAGTGAATGCTTACCTCTTTAAAAAGTTATCTATGTCTCTATTTCCCTTAAGTTTATTTTAGGGGCTATCAGGATGGCAGGGTGAGAAAGTCTGTGGACCCACTCCCCAGCAATACAAGCACAACTGGTGAAATGATCCTAAGGGTATACACCAAATTAAGAAACATTTATTCAGGAAAATAGATACTAAGATTAGGGTTGGGAAGAAGCAGGTTGGACAGATTGGAGCATCTATCCATTGAGTTGGGAATGGATTGGGAAGAAGCAGGTTGTGGCTTAGTATTTAAGAGTCCACAGGACTTCAGTCGCAGCCTGCTTCTCCCCACCCATTCCCAAAGCAGATGAACAGAAACTCCAATCAAAGTGGCTGTGGCCAAAAAGATGGGTCTTCTCTTCCCTCGCTTCCAATAAAGGGTTACAGCATCTCATGGGAAGGAGCAGGCTGTCAGCAATTTCTCATCCCCTCATTCTGAGTTGAAAAGACTAAATTCCTGATGCGTATGATGAGAATTTGGGGACTTCTTTCTCCACCTACCTCCTGCTCATAAGGTAGAGGTTCTACCCCAGGATAGCAAAGCTGAGAAAATAGGGACCCAAATGTCCCCACCTCGGCGCATTCACAGGGCAGTTTCTACACTGGGAGAGGTATATAAAGAAGACCAGAAGCTACATGCTGGCCCAGCTACCAAAGTAGTGGCTCAGAGATTTTGCCCAGGGGAAAAGACCTCAAAACAGAAGGCCCTAAACTCTCCCCAAAGAAACAACTGACTTCATCTGACTCAGATTGCAGTAAGTTGGAGCCTAAAGGAGGTCTCAAAAACGATGGAGACTTGGTAATAAGCAAATAAAAGGAGGCTGGTAGTTCACCTAATTAAGAGAAACAAGCAAAAGATCTCGTTCATTAGAGAGAACGGGGGAATGAGACAGCTAAGAAGCGTCATCTTGGTGTCAGAATTCAAATCGAAGAATGCCCACAAAAATGAATCAAATTTAAATGGATGTGGAACAATTTAAGCCCCAATGCATTGTCAAAAACAATAAAGCAATTAGTGAAGATGGCAATTAGTGAAGTATAAAGCAGCTACATGTGACAGCAAATGAGGCAGACAAAGAAGGTATCAGGGAAAGGGAAAGTGAGTCAGGCAGAGACCACTGGATGCCCAGGGTAAATCTGGCCACGCTGAAGGCTGCACCCTCTGAAGAGTGACACCAAAGTCAAACAGACTTCATTAAAATTCATACTATAAGCAATACAAGCCCAACTCATACAACAAATAAATATACAAACAACAAGAAAACAAACCTAATAAGGGGGGAGAGAAATTATTAACCAACAACTACAACACATTACCTAAATTGTCATCTTTATCAAGAAATTATGAAACATGCAAAGAAACAGGAAGGTGTAATACCTACAGAAGGGGAAAAGCAAGTGATATAAAATACTTGTGAGAGGTCCCAGAAGTTAAATATAACAAAGACTTCAAAGCAAACATTACAAATATGTTCAAAGAACTAAAGGAAACCACACTTAAAGACATGAAAGGCATGATGACAGTCTCATCTAATAGATAATATAGATGAAAAGATATAAAATAAAACCCAATGGAAACACTGGAGTGGAAAAGTACAATAAACTTAAAAGGACTGAAATCGTTAGTCCTTTTAGACACTAATAATTCAGAGAAATCTGGGAAATTAACAAATATGTGGAAATTAAACAACACACCAACAAATAACCAATGGGTCAAATATGAAATCATAATGGAAATTTAAAAATACTCTAAGATAAACAAAAGATATAAAGTTTATCAAATATAGCTGAAGTAGTGTTAAAGATCTCAATCAATAACCTAACCTTCTACCTTAAGACACCGAAAAAAGAGGAAGCCCAGCAATTCCACTCCTAGATTTATACCGAAAATGATTTTAAGCCTGTGCCTATATATTCAGAGCAGCATTATTCATAATAGCCTAAAAGTGTCAACATTCCAAATGTCCATCAACTGATGTGTGGATAAAATGTGGTATATCTAAGTGATGAAATATTATTCAGCAATAAAGAGGATGATGTACTGGCATATGCTACAGCATGTACAGCATGGATGAACTTTGAAAACATTATACTAAGTCCAAGAAGCCAGTCATTAAAAACTAGATATTATATGATTACACTTCTATGATATGTCCCAAACAGTCAAATCTATACAGACCAAAACAGATACATGGTTGCTTAGGGGTAGGGGGAGGAATGGGTGGTGGAAATGCGCAATGATTGCTAATGCGTATGGGGTTTCTTTCCAGGGAGATTAAAATGCCCTAAACTTGATTGTGGTGATAGTGGCACAATTCTGTGATTATATTTTAAAAGTCACTGAATTGTAAACTTTAAAAGGGTAAAATGTGTGGTATGCATTATATCTCAGTAAAACTGTATTTTTAAAAATTATCTTAGGAATGTAAAGTTCTGCTTACAAAACGAAAGCTAAAAGATCCTTTTATATAGTATACAGAATATCATATATACACATATATACATCCCAAAATACTAAGAAAGCACTGTAATTTTATTACAATAGCTACAGTTTATTTCAGAGATAGGAAAATACCGTGGGTCATAGTCTATTCCCCAAAACAATGATGAAGTAACAAAAACAATTTTTACAATCAGATTGCTAGAGTGACATTAATTCTGTTCATAAACTGTAGTTTTACAACATGAATTTAAATAAAGGTTATTAGAAAAGAAAAACACTTGTTGTTACCAGTTTTATTTGAAATTAAGGTTTGCCAAAAGATACAGTGACCTTAATTCAGTTACCATTTTAGCTACTTGCTGATTCGACTTATATATATCTCTTCTATCTATGACATTCTTTCCACATTTATTTTAAATCTCATCACCTTTATTTGCATTTTAATCACTGAAGTTTGTAATTACAACAATCTTATTTTCCTCAAAAGAAAAATATTTACTATAAAGAATTCTCTAGCCATAATGACTCTGCAGTCATTTAAAAAATGTTGCTCCAGATTTGGCAGGTGTTAATTGAAGACTTATTAAATAACTTTTATGTAAATGCCACAGAGAGTAACAGATTTACAATTAGCATAGTTATTCTAGCCTCATCACTCTTCCTAAATAAGGGAAAATGATTACTAAAAAAAGGTCTATTTTCAACTGCTATGTTTATTTACATTATCATTTGATAAGGTGTTGGCTTGTATGCCCCTTCTCCACCAAAAGCATACATATATTTTGGATAATACTATACAGATAAAATGGGAGAAGCAGAAACTACCAAGTGTCTATTAGTTGCATCAAAGTTTACAGATAACACATAAACCACAATAAAGTCTTATGTCTTTATTAGTATTAGCAAAAAAATTCTTATATAATAAAAATCAAGTTATATTCTTTGTCAATAAGTTTCTTAGTGGTTCTTAAAACCCTGTAACACTCATTTTTAACGGTTAATATGAAAACAAAATTATAATAATCTAAAGGATAAATAATATTCCACATAATAGAAGGAAAAAAAAATATCCCAGGACTACAGGGGAAACAGGATATTCTGGGTAAGTGAATATTCTGACTTACTGATAGTTATTATATATGTTCATAAAGAAATGGCAAAATAATATAACCAATTATTTTAATAATCATTCCAAAAATGAAATAATAAAACAAAATCTAGTTTCCAATGTAGGCATCTTAGGAGGCTACACTCTTTTCAACAATGAGATCGCTGTTTAACTCGAGACTCAACTTTTGAAACAGCCCTTAGTGCCAGCTGGGGAGGCACAAGAAAAAAAAAAATCAATCTAAGTACTTTATATTCATAAAGTATCTTCAGAAATGTATTTCCTAGCCTGATACCCCACCGTATTCATCAGACTAAGCTTTGAACAATTTAGCATAAAACTAGGCTG